TCTCCCTTCAAAAACAAAAATAAACTCAAAATGTCTCCAATTTATAAGAAAACATCCATTAACAACAGGGAGTATATCAAAAATCAATTATATAGTTCAACTCCAATTTCCAATTCTGAAAATTCTGTAAATGATATTACTGTTATCAGAAACAAACCATTTGAACAATTTAAAAACAATTTAGTTAAACATAATGCTGAGAAATTGTCTATCAAACAGTTAAAGAAATATGAAAAAGATGATGATAGTTATGCAAAACATAATATTGATGTATTGAACCAAGAACGTGTAAAACAAGATTCAGAAAAAGAAGTAACTCTTAATATCTCAGAAGAAAATGTAAGTATGCCATCATTTATAAATTTTTCAACAATAGGAACTAATTTTTCACCAGCAAAATACAATTTAGAGAGTAGTAGTAATGAAAATATAATACTATCAGTAAAAGACTTAGATCAAAAAAAAAATGTAAATCGTGAACCCGAAATTAACAAACTTGACTTAACAGAGTCAAAAATATGTATGGCCAATTCAGATGATCAAAGTAGCTCTGATGATGACAATTATACAAAACTTAAACAAAGTATATTAAAACAAGATGATATAAAATCATATTCTGATGATAAAAAATTTAAACTTGATAACTCAGTCAATGTTCATTCTTCTTCTTTAAGTTCTAAAAACAGGAAAACTTTTCAATCAAACGATAAGAATGATTGCAAAAATCAAATTATAAATAAAATTGTTCAAAGAGAGTCAACATCAACATCCGATTCAGAGAGTAGTAGTAATGAAAATATAATACTATCAGTAAAAGACTTCGATCAAAAGAAAAATGTAAATCGTGAACCCGAAATTAACAAACTTGACTTAACAGAGTCAAAAATATGTATGTCCGATTCAGATGACCAAAGTAGCTCTAACGATGCTATCTATACTAAACTTAAACTTAGTTTATCAAAACCATATGATGAAAATTGTGATTTAGATAGTGAAAAACTGAAACATGATAACTCAGTTAATGTTCATTCTTCTTCTTTAAGTTCTAAAAAGAGGAAAACCTTTCAATCAAATGATAAGAAAGAATGCAATAATCAAATTATAAATAAATTTGTTCAAAGACAGTCATCATCAACATCTGACTCAGAGAGTAGTAGTAATGAAAATATAATACTACCAGTAAAAGACTTAGACCAAAAGAAAAATGTAAATCGTGAACCTGATAGTGACAAACTTGGCTTGACAGAGTCAAGAAGAAGTATAAATGATTCAAATGACCAAAGTAGCTCTGATGATGTCATCTATACTAAACTCAAACATAGTATATCAAAACCAGATGATAAAAAACTTAAACTAGATAACTCTGTCGATATTCAATATTCTAATTTAACTACTAAAAAGAAGAAAACTTTTAAATCAAATGATAAGAAAGATTTCAAAAATCAAATTATAAATAAAGTTATTCAAAGGCAGTCAACATCAACATCTGATTCAGAGAGTAGTAGTAATGAAAATATAATACTATCAGTAAAAGACTTCGATCAAAAGAANATATTAAAACAAGATGATATAAAATCATATTCTGATGATAAAAAATTTAAACTTGATAACTCAGTCAATGTTCATTCTTCTTCTTTAAGTTCTAAAAACAGGAAATCTTTTCAATCAAACGATAAGAATGATTGCAAAGATCAAATTATAAATAAAGTTGTTCAAAGACAGTCAACATCAACATCTGATTCAGAGAGTAGTAGTAATGAAAATATAATACTTCCAGTAAAAGACTTGGACCAAAAGAAAAAGGTAAATCGTGAACCCGAAATTAACAAACTTGACTTAACAGAGTCAAAAATATGTATGTCCGATTCAGATGACCAAAGTAGCTCTGATGATGACAGTTATACAAAACTTAAACAAAGTATATTAAAACAAGATGATATAAAATCATATTCTGATGATAAAAAATTTAAACTTGATAACTCAGTCAATGTTCATTCTTCTTCTTTAAGTTCTAAAAACAGGAAAACTTTTCAATCAAACGATACAAATGATTGCAAAAATCAAATTATAAATAAAGTTGTTCAAAGACAATCAACATCAACATCATCAGATTCAGAAAGTAGTAGTAATGAAAATATAATACTACCAGTAAAAGACTTAGACCAAAAAAAAAATTTATATAAGGAAATTAAAAGAAACAAACTCAATCTGACAGGATCAAAAATAAATATGACAAATATAGAATATACTAGTAGCTCTGATGATGAGATTTATAAAAAAATTATAGATGATGAATCAAAACAAAATATTACAAAACCTTTATCTACAAATCAAAATTATCATATTATGCATTCAAATGATGAATATGATTCATCGACCTCCTGTATTTATAATACATCTTCAAGAGCTTCAAAATTAAATATAAAAGAAGACTTAAAAAACATTGTCAAAACTGAAGATTGTCACATTAATAGTATAAATAATTCTATATCTAAAAAAAAGAAAAGTAAACAGTCTTCACTTATAGCAAACAAACAAACAAATAATAAAGATGAACTAATTAAACTTATTTTGGAATTGAGTACACAATCTTCTAGTATTTTAGAAAAAGAAACACTTAATGACTCAGTTAATATTCATGCTTCTACATTAAATACTAAAAACACGAAAAATTATCAAACAAATGATAGGAAAGATTACAAAAAACAAATTGAAAATAAAGTTGTTAAAAAACAGTCAACTATTTCATCTTCATTGTCAGATTCAGAGAGTAGTTGTGAAAACATAAAACCACCAGTAAAAGATTTGAACCAAAAGAAAAATGTAAATTATGAACCTGAAATTGACAAACTTAACTTGACTGGGTCAAAAATAAATATACAAAATACAGAATGCGAGAATAACTCTATTGCTGATATATCAAAACAAGTAAATAAAAAACTTTATACTACAAATCAAAGTTCTAATAAAGGTAACTATTTAAATGGTGTAAATGATTCATTGTCATACTTTGTTCATGATGAATACACACCATCCTCAAAATTAATTAATTCAAATACAAAAAAAAGTTTTATTAAAATGGCTGAAACTGACACAGTTAAGATTGATAAATTACCAATCGAAAAAACATCAAAAAAGAATAAAAAACAAAAAAGTAGCAAGTGTACACTTTTGAAATCACCAAAGGATAATAAATCTTTAATAGATTTAATGAAAATAACAAATAACAAAGATAAACTAATTAAGAAAATTTTGGAAGAAGATTATAATAGTAGTATTAGTAGTGTTGATACAGACAATGACTTAGAATTTTTTAAAAAAAACGTGGAAAAACAAAGATTAAATAAAATTAAGAATGCCAAAGTATTAGAGATTTCTTCTAAGAATAATAATTCTAATAAACAAAAAAAACCCATTAAAAAATCTGATGATATAATAACAAAGTCTCAGAACGCAACAGATAAATTGTCAGACTTTATTCTTGATGCACACACACCAGCCTCAAAATTAATTAATTCTTATACAAAAGAACACTTTAATGTGACTGAAATTGACAAAAATAAGATCGATAAATTATCAAATGAAAAAACACCAAAAAATAACAAAAAACAAGGGAGTGAAAATAGTACACTTTTGAAATCACCAAAGAATAATAAATCATTTAGTAATTTAATGAAAATAACAAACAATAAAGATAAACTAGTTAAAACAATTTTGGATGAAGATTCTAGTAATAGTCGTACGAGTAGTGTAAGTACAGACGATGATATTGAATTTATAAAAAAAATTGTGGAAAGACAAAGATTAAATAAAATTAAGAATGCCAAATTACAAGAGGTATCTATTAAAAACAATACCTCCAACAAACAAAGTAAAACTGTACAAAAATTGGATAATAAAATAACAAAACATCAGATCGCAACCTTGGGTATAACAGATGATTTATCAAGTAGAAAAAGGAAAAGATCCGGGGAACTTACCAAAGATTTACTTTTGGACAGTGTATTAAATTCCTTACAAGATTCTTCAAGTTGTCAATCTCCTACAAAAAAGAAAAGAATTGTTGATAATTCAATGATGAAAACAAATGATTTAACTGAACACATAAATAATGATAAAAGTTCATCTAAGGTTAAGAAGAAGAAAAAGACTAAACTTAATGAGGATGTTATAACAGATGACCTAGTAAGTCAAAATGTGAAAACATACAGGGAAATCACCAAAGATTTACTTTTAGATAAAGTAGCAAACTCCTTACAAGATTCTTCAAGTTGTCATTCTCCTACAAAAAAGAAAAGAAATGTTGATAATTCAATGATGAAAACAAATGATTTAACTGAACACATAAATAATGATAAAAGTTCATCCGTAATAACTTCGTATAGCATACA